ACGGGACGAGCATACTACAAGCTTAGCACTTCATCTTCAATCCTTCAATGCCAATTCTTGTGCCAATATTTGTAAGGCCTGGGTTTAACCTTCAGGTCCATTGAACCACTAGCGAAAACGAGGGACAGCGTACCAGATGTTTGCTGAAGAAACGCGAGTGCTGGAACGCGCCGGGAGCGAACCACAAACCGGGCGCACCCGTCGGCCTATAGCAGCGAGTCAGTTCCCCCTCGTCGTCGAGTCCCCAGATCTTGGATCTTTGTTCCTTGATTCTCTCGCCGAAGAGGGATACCACGGTTGTGATGATTGGTTCGTTACCCGTGCTGGAAAATATTTCGTTAGCATGCCACCATATGCATGCGAATTCGGGAAGGCGTACGCGAGAACTATGACATCCGCCGCAATTTTAGAGCCGTCTTTGAAGATCATCCCGTCGGCCTCCAATTTCTCTACTTCCACGCCTTGCTTCATCTGAGAAGCAAAATTCATACACTTGAATAACCGAGTGGGTCAATGATTGAAGCAATCACCTTGATTTTCCCGTCCACTATCAACTGGGCGCAGCCCGTATCCATCACTAGAAGTGAACCTCGAACTGAGACAATGGCCGAGTGCACAATTGAACGACGCACGAGTTCCAGAGGATGCACGCTAAACAAATGATGTCAACTGAAAAATAAAAAGCCTCAATATCCGTTGACCACGTACGTCGAGGAAGAATCCCAGTAATCCAACCTCCCCGCCACCAGGAGTCAGCTCCCACGTCAGCTTGAACCCCGCTTTGGCCAGGCCGTCGTGCAGCGTCCGGTCGAGGTCTTTGAGACGCTTCGTGCCGCCTCCCACAGCAAGCTTGAGTGCCAATGCAGGAGGCATCGAATGGTACAAGAAATCCGCGTCCTCGATTGTCTGACGCTCAGAGAACGCGACGCTAAAGAATGTCTTGTCCATCGTGGCCGAGGAAATGACACACGTCGCGCCGCGCTGGACCATCGTCACCTGGATCGAAATGTTAAATGCAAAAACAAGAATATACAAAAATCCGGGACGAGCCTCTGCAGCGCCCTTGGCGACAAAATCCTGGCATATCAGCCCCGGCGTTGCACTGCGACTTTGCGTCACTATCCGAAGACCGCGCCCACGACTATGACCTTCTTGCCTCGAAAGGGCGCTGCGCCCTGGTGGTCATCTGAATGATAGAGCGGCCCCGCGAAGGACTCCATCCCAGGCCAGCGCGGGATTCGTGCTCTCCCGTTCCCGGTCGCCATCACGATGTGTTTCGGGAACACCGTGGTACGGCTCCCGGCACGGTCCACGGTAACGGTCCAGCGCTTCGTGGTGGGATCGAACGACGGCGTCGGGAGGACCGTGCTCGATAGCCAGACATGGATTTCTTCCCCGATCGCCTAGGCTTCGAGAAAGTCTGCGATCTTTTGCTTCGGGAGGAACTTCGGGTAGGTTTTGCTTCATATAAGGATTAATGTGCGGTTCAAGCGCGAGGGAAGGATACCTACGGCCGGGGGTGGTACGGAACTTTCAGCGGCAGATCAGATGTGAATAATGAAATGAAAATGAATAAAGATGCGTACTGGATGAATGATGCGCGGTGGTGTGAAGCGAGAGGTTGGGGTAGCTGAATAGTATTTAAACCACATCAGCAAGGTCAGAAGGCGAGAAAAACTGGCGTTACCGTTTCCTCCACACGTCGCCTACCCTCTCGCCCTTCTCTACAATGAGCGCGCGAATTCCCATGCGACCGAATCGCGCGGCACACATGAGGCCGGCCTGCCCGCCTCCGACTAAATAAAACAATTCAGCGAACGAACAAAAGCAAAGTCCTACATATTTCACGAACCGATCAAGACCGTCGTATCCTCCTCGGTCTCCCGAACTTTCCTCGCGCGCTCTTCTTCCCAGGTGCTGTCCTCCAGATACCCAACCGGCCGCTCCGCCGGCTCCTCGTGGCCCGCCAGGTCCGCGAGGTTGGTGAGGAGCGTCAGCGCCTTCCACCCGCCGTCATCCGGCTGCGGCACGAGGCGCACGAATCCGCGGCCCTTGGCTGGCGGAGAGGCCACCGCGAAAGTAAACGCGGCGGAGACGCCGTGGGCCGTGGGATCCCCCGGCAGCGGGAACGTCGCGGGTGGGCCGATGGTCGACGCCGTCTCGAGCTGAAAGTCGCGCAACGCGGCGCGCGCGAACCTAGACTCGCCACCGGCAGCAGATTTCTGCGATAGAAACTCGACGATCTTCGCGTGCCCGACCGTGATTTTAAAGTCCCAGGAGAAGCATAAGAGGTCTATCAGTGCGAATCAGCATTAGGCCGGAGAATGGATCGAATAAATAAATGGAGAGCCAGACCTCGCAAGCACCTCGTAGGCAGAAAAAGGCGCGCGAACGCCTCTTCGTCCTGCGCGGCGTTCGGGCTGGCGAGCCACTGGGCGGCGACTGCTAGTGTTTCTTCGGGAGTCATCGTTTTAGAGTGAAATACGGGAGGCGATTGGTTGTACGGAGAAAGGACTCGGAACGTGCTTGGAGTGCAGGCCAAGTGTGGGCTTAAGTGCCCCTCGGACCGAAACATGTTCTGCTTGAAGCTCTTCGTCCGAATCCCTGATCACCGTGCTCCGTCACGTCCACACACCGGCGGAGTTGCCGTTTCGTGGTGTATGAGTCCGCGGAGGACCACGGAGGACCGCATTCCCGAGATATAGGTGGCCTTTTCTCCGTGGTCGTAGTCCTTAGCCCTTAGTCCTCGGGAACATAGTAATGCACTCAAGCGAGTCGTCGTGAAACCAGGAGGTCTGATTAGGGTTAGGGTTCCACGGCCTCCCAAAAAAGGACACTGAGGATTGCACCAAGTCCACGGCGCCGCAAAGGCTACCTAACACCATAAAAACGGGCAGAAAAGAGCAGAGCAGAAACAGAAGAGGGTTATAGTACAAAGAGCACATACATGGAGCTTCGTATTCAAATTTACCGTTCTCTCCCTCCTTTGCCTCGCTTGTCCATGCATATGTCACCGCGCAAGTCTAAGCGCCTGGCGGCCTTGGCTCAGATGTTCGGGTACAGCTCGCGTCTTTCTAAGCTTGGCCATCACTGCGTCCGTATCCGTGTTCTGCGTCTCCAAGGCGAAAGAAGGCGGGCGCATGTCGCGAGGAAGGGCGTAATGAAGGGTGAAATAAAAGGAAGGACGGATCATGCGTGGAGGGGGGAAAGGACGGTGCATGCATGATGGGAAAAGGGAAGGACGCCCGGCGGGAAGAGTCTGGGAAAGGAGGAACGCACGCAAAGACAGATGCGGGTGCGGGTGCGGATGTGCCGGGGCGGCGCGCGGAATGGAGGGATGTGTGGTCGAAACAAAAGGAGGAGATGCACCCGCAAGGCAGAACGCGAAGATCGATGTATGCAGGGCGCGTAGACATAAGGAAGGAAGGAGGAAGGGAAGAAAAATGCACTCGCGATAATAGCGCTTTCCACGCCGCTCCCGTCCTCTGCGTGGTACGTCACGATGCTCCTGCAGTCCGTCGATGAGCTATCAGAAAGAACGGAAGGATGGATGAGGCTGAAGACGCACCGTCGTTCCCAAACACGTCTACCGTACACTATCCGTAAAGCCCGAGTATTTCTGCGCACGGCGTCAGCGTCAGCTACCCTCTCCCGGGCTCTCCCTTTGGAGCAGGAGGGACTCAGTTAAACAAACTCCCATCTGCGCCCACTGCCCACCGCCCACCCCTCCTCCAAATACCCTCTTACTCACAATTGCCACACGCACTCAGCCTCGCTGCCCGTCCAATCAACTTCGCCAGCGCCCTAAAAAAACGGGGGTCGTCTTCAGCGCGAAGAATTGTGAAAAGATGCCAATAAATGGCCAGCTCGTCAATAAGATCGGACTCCATGAGCGAGAGGAACGCGGTGTCGAAGACGCAGGGGCTTCAAGCTTGTAGGTGTTCTACCCGAGGAAGAGGACACCCTCGTCGACGAGGCAGAGGACGAGGCGCAGGGTCTCGCAAGGCAGCGCCCGGAGACAAGGGCCCAAAGGAAGCTGGAAGCTGGGGAGAAGGAAGAGAGTCGCGGTCACGGGCCGTCGCAGGCGTGACCGTCACTCTGCTTTTTTTTTTTGCTACTGCCATGATTGGTCTAAAGGGGACCCTCAATGTACGCTCTTTCCGCGACCATTTCCTTCAAAAGCACGGTCATAAACATCCTACAGATCATCGACAACTCCGGCGCGCTGGTGGCCGAGTGCGTGAACGTTCTGAAGCAAAAGGTCAACAACGGCTGGGGCTCCGTCGGCGACGAGATCGTCGTTGTCGTCCAGCGAGCCAGACCCATATCCAGCGCGGCCTCCGCCTCGGTCACCGCCGTCAAGGTCCGCCGCGGGGACGTCCGCCGCGCGGTCATCGTGCGCACGCGCAAGGCCGTGCGCCGCCCCGACGGGCGCATGGTGCGCTTCGACGACAACGCCGCCGTGTTGCTGAACAACAAGCGCGAGATGCTCGGCACGCGCATCGGCGGCGTCGTCAGCGCCGATCTCCGCATGAAGGGATGGGGCAAGATCGCCAGTCTGGCGCCAAAGGTAAGTCCGTGCACACGCATTACAGGTCCATCGTTGTTGATACGCGTGCGTCGGTCTAGGTCATATAATTTGTGTTGTCCTCGCCGAGGAACTACCTTCTACGCATTCCTTCCACCCTCATTTCCTCTGCGTGAGACCGCCGCCGTCCACCCAGCTTTCAAGCGCGGGATTATTTAATGCGCGTGCGCTAGATTCTCCAAGCGCAGCGCATCATCCAGTGCAGATCTCCGCTATCTTTTTTTGACGAGACGGTCCCTTTAATTTCAATCCAGGTTGGACAGAAGAAAAAAAAGTTAACCGTGTATGATATGCCTCCCCATCGATGGTGAAAAATCCCCTCCTTCTCCCTGCGGCGTGCTGAGAACGCCGCGTAGTATTAGCTGAGTGCGAGACACTGTGTTAAGGGGGAAAAAAATGGAAGGTACATTTAGAGCAGCACCTTGAGTCGAACAAGGACCTCGGGGTAAGAATGTATACCGACGATGTATCTGGACCCCGTGTGCACGATACACCACACTGCTTTCCATACTCTGTTTCAAGCTTCGTGAAGCACCAGTTTTTTCCTGCCTGACCTCGGCCTCAGGCTCATGAGAAAAAGAGAGGCAATTGCAATTTGCAACTGCGCAGTACCTTGGTTCGAACAATGACCTTGAGATTGAACTACGAAAGTGCGCAGTTGAGATGGAATCCCCGCGTGCACAGTACACCACACTGCTTTCTGTATCTTGCTTTGCAGGTGATTAAATGCTATAAAATCCCTGGATGAGGGAAGAAAGAAAAACTTGCAGCGCCATCTCGCAGAGCAGCACCTTGGTTCGAACAAGGACCTCGGGGTTGAATTGTCTGACCTGCACAAGATACCCCCGTGTGCACAATACACCACACTGCTTTTCTTGATCTGTTCTAAGGTTGATGGAGTGCTAGAATTTTGGCTGGAGCTGAGGGAGAAAAGGTAATAGCACCTTGAGTCGAACAAGGACCTCGGGGTTATGTACTTCTGCCATGGGCTTCGAAAAGAACCCCCGTGTGCACGATACACCATACTGCTTTCCATGCCCTGTATCACGGCCGGCGGTGTGTCAGAAAACTTGTACCTTGACGCAAGGGGGCGCAGGAAATAAATTGTCCAGGACCATGCCCTTTTAGAGAAAAAAATATTCATCTTTTCTGATATTTTTTGATGCTTTCAGGCAAGATGGTGAACATGTCACAAAAGAAAAATTGGGTCAGGGTCGGCCACCCACCCCCCAAATAAGGCAGGTGCGACACCATACAAGGCAATAATATCACAGCCTGTTGCTCGAGAAATATTTCTTGGAAAAACATCGGATGACTGTCAATCAACTCGGAATGGTTCACTCTATCAGAATTGGGCATTGTACCCTAGATTTTAATCACTGCGCCCCCTTGCCTTGACGGGGTAAAAAGATCTTGGCAGGCAATTATAATTATCCAATTCAACTAATCGACCAGGGGACACGCACGAGTACTGTTTTCTTCTGTTACACCAGGAATTGTGATTTCAGCAAGGGTGCTCGTGCCGTATGGCTGGGACGAAGCGATAGAAAGATGCAAGAATGCTACCGAGCCACAATTGCAACCCGGCAGCTCAACAAGTATTGATGTCTATCGGGCGGACCTTACAGCTTCGGGGATAATTCAAGCCTTTGTGAATGATCTCGCTGGAGCTCTCTTCAAACGAGGAATTATATGAATGACACTAAGCCGAAATTAAACCGTAGGAAAAATAGAGCGCACTTTGTCCGACACTGAGTTCATGACTGTATCCAGGAACGTACATCTGCTACAGTCTGCTACTTCCTTCAGATTAATATCAGCAGCTTCTGTCTCGGATAATATACGCGTCTGGATGCCATTGAGAGTGTCCTTGATGACTTCAATGAAACTTTCAAACTGAAAGTCGTCTTCTGCATCTTGCAGCTGCAATTTCAGGAATACAGCTCGAGTGTGTAGTTCAACAGCCTCAGGGACTCACAAACGTAAAAGTTAAACCTCCATAAGGATTCATTCATTATGAGCCAGGGGCCGCTCAGTACTCAGTACTTGCCGTAAACGCCACCTGCCATTGCGTTGCAATGGAGTGATAAGATTTATTTGAAACTCAGGATGGTCAGGCGGGTGTCATGCACACACTCTTGACATCCTTCAAACGTATAAAAGGGACACTAGTTGTACAATTCCACTATTATCGAACAACACCCCTCATCATGCAGTTCAAAGTCATTGCGTTCATCGCTGCCCTCTTCACAGTTGCGGCTGCTCAAACAGACTGTGTTTGTATTCGGGTTCTTCAACAAGCCACAGATTGCTGACCGTTGTTCCCAGGTCACCATTCTTAAACACTCGGTCTGCCCGGTGGGCTACAGAGTCTGTGGACCTGTGCGTGTTGATCAGACCAAGTGTTGCCCGGTGCGTTGAATTATTACGACCAAAAGGTCGCGGCTCATACTCACATGCTACAGGACGATGACATCTGTCCATTGTAGTTTTAAGGATATCCATAGTGTATTTGTGATTCGAATGAAGTTATCGGTCATGTTATTGGTCATGTTTCGATTGGATGACGCATAATGGCCAGCTCCACAGCCTCCATCTAATTCCTGGTATATCCGAGGAGGTTGGACAACCAGAGACTGGGTTTGGATTCTAATCAGGGACATCACTAAAATTGAGTAGTGAAACGACTGTAGTTTAGTTCAACTTGAAGCGACGCGGAACTGTCGCCTGCCCTCCCTACGTTGCGCTGGTACTAAGATGGCCACTCGACGAGGTATTGATTGAAAAATGTCTCAAGGCGGCCGATCCAGAGCAGCACTTGGAGCAGCACCTTGATTCGAACAAGGACCTCGGGATTAATCATTGATATCGAATGATGGCTAACAAAATCCAGTGCGCCCAATACACCACACTGCTTTCCTTGGTCTGATTCGCAGCTGGTGGAGTGCCAGAGAACGGTGTGGCAGTGTGCCAGAAAATGCGGGGAAAGAGTCAATCATACTCGGGAGAGGCTAGCGGCTCCCCAGAATTTATACACATTCCCTCGTACGAGTGGACGAAAGTTGAGTACGGCGTTGTGCATGGGGCAGGTAATACAGCACCGCACCTAAAATGGATTCCTGCTCACACTGGCCGGAGCTCAACACGCTTACGAGGAAATCAAGATGAATATCAAATAGAAAATTCGCTGCCGCATAGATACCTCAGAACCGGGACTAACGCACGAGGGAAAACCGGTTCGCCGTCTCGAATATTTTCGTGAATATACGGAGAGAGAGCTGAGACGCAAACGGCGAGACCAAGAATTGATGACGTGATCGTCACCCGACCTGCCTGCTTACAATCATTTCCGTTTGTTGCTTCCCTTCCGTCGTGTGCTCCCCGTCCACGCCGCCGCCGACGTGCACATCGCTGCCGGCGGTCCAGTCTACCTTCATTACCAGAATCAACAATCTGTTCCCCATAACAACCGAATAATCAACGCCGGCTACTGCTTGCTACCTGGGATCCGCGCTGCTTTTTCTGGACTCTGAGCGCCCACTACAATGGCTACGTCGACGTCGCGCTCCTCGTCTGGGTGCAGCAGCTCGTGCTCGGCGTCTGCGTCCGTCTCGCCGTCCGCTTCTACGAACTCCACCTCGGCGTCATTCGCCGGGTTCCCGTCATCGACCTTCCCGACCGACTCGCCGCACGTGCTGCCCACCGCCGGCGGAGACGGGGGTGGCTTTGGCGGAGGCGGGAGCGGGCAGCCGTACAACACCCCGCAGTCGTCGCGCCTGCGTCTTGTCCCCATCCCTCCTCTCACCCTCAATCTGATCTGTGCGCCGGGCAGTGTAGACCTTCCTCGCGACGCTCATCCTCCTGCTGGGCGTGTCCTCCGCGATCATCGTGCGCTCGCTGCTGCTCGCACTGATCGACGTCAGCCTTTGCCGCTGCCGGTGGTCGGACTCAATCGGTCGATCAGACATATCAACAGGGCAGCCTCTCACGGTTTATTCTCATATCTACGGCTCATACGAGCGTGATGAATTGCGGGAACAACAAAGCATATCCGGGTGCCAGAAACTCATTATTCAGGTGTTCGGCTCACGGTTCAACGATCCGAGGTGCGACCTTCGTGTTGAAGCGACTGAGTACGAGGGCCATTGACACCTCAAGGTAAGGTCTTGTGTCTGGCATTGGAATTCTAGCTGCAAGCTATCAGCGACTGGCTAGACTCGACAGCGCCGGATTCCACTGGCATTTGACTCTAAATAAATAAATCCAACACAGTTTCGCAACCAGCGCGAAGGTTTATAACATTGACGCTAAAAGAGTGTGATGGGTATGCAAATACATTTCTAGGTGAATTAGCGAGGGTCTCTCAAGTGTACACGTTGATAGAATTGAAGTCGAAGAATGCGTCAGTGAAGGAGCCCGGGTTGTTGTTCACGAAGTCTGTTCAATTCGTGTGACTGTATACTTGAATAATGCGCGACACTCACCATCGCACGTTGAAGGGCAGCCGGACGAGGCATACACCGAGGCGTTCCCGGCCCAGGCACCGCCTTTGCGCATAGGTCAGTGTGGTAGTGCACGCGGACGCGTCTGGCCGGCGGTCGTGTTGATTAGTCAGCAGCTTGTGCATGTTTAGACAGATTCCTTCTTGCTTTCATCCTTGCACAGCGACACTGCGGGATTAGCTAGTGACTAGCGCCAGAGGATCCAGGATCCTACCACATCAGTCAGTCCATACACATCGCAAATAGAAGCAGGGTTATTTACAGAAAGTCAGATTTATGATGATGTTGTGCGCGACGAACTCTTCGAGGTCGCAACTGGCGTTCGGGAAGGCGGCAGACGGCATTCCCTGTCCATGAATCAGCGATATTGAGATGCGGCCGTTCATTTCACATACCCAATTATCGGTGACAACGCTAGACCCTCCCGCCACAACGTCTGCTGGGACGGCGGCATCGTTCCGAGCCCAAAACCAAACCAAGATTTTGGAGTTTGTGCGCTCCACGGCGTACCTAAAATTTGTTCAATGCTGTTCAAGTGAGATAAGCAAGGAAATAAACATACCAGCCACCTCCGTTGGTGTTGAAAGCAGGGCCGTAGCTCGTGGCTTCATTTAACTTGACACCGCAGCCGGGATTCCCGGGGAGGGTGCCGTCGCAGTCTGGCAGTAGCGCAGTGCTGTAATGAAAATCAACATCTTCTATACGGAAAAGAGGACGGTTAGAACTCACCCTGTTTCGGCGCGCGACGCAGGCATAGTGCAGCCTAGTCAAACGTAAGTGCATGAATGGGAAAAAAATCATCGGGACGAACCTGGGGCAGTGTGGAGAGTGGCCTGGTTGGTGCCCTGGTCATTCACTCCTTCCTAGACGGGAATTTTAGTTGATGAGCCGAACGACTAGGCCGCTTAGCTTACTACAATATCAGTTTCGCCACCGTAGGGCCAAGAACCTCCGGTTTCCCACCTACAGAAGAGGATGAACGTTCAGATCATACCAAAATCTCGAATGAATCTTACACAGCGGGCCAAGTACTAATCACCCAAGTCAGCACACATGAGAAATCGCAAGGGAAATCCATCTTACCCGCAGCCCTGGGGCATGTGCGCCATGTCGAACCTGTTCCCTTTTGCATAAGAAGATATTAGAATTTATAATGGAACGAAAATAACATACACAGCGACGTGCGTAGTGTACGTATTCTTCGAACTTAACCGGACGGAGTTGCGCCCGGCGCCGTTAGGATCGAGGACCGTCGTATCGTCGGCGCGGAGGATAAATGTGTTGCCAGATGCAAACGTGAGGTTGTTACTCACCGCTGTAGTTTGGTCGACATAATTCCTGCAATGAAATGAGCGCGGAGAAGGAAGGGAATATAATTAGGTAGCTCACACCCGCCCAGTCGTCGGATCAGGGATGGCTTCGAAATTGAAAGAGTTGTAAAAGCCCGAGCCAACGATGTTTTCGGCCATCTGGTAGGTAGCGCCATGGGCGGAAGAGACCGCGAAAGAAAGAGCCAGAAAGGGAGTCCCAATGAAGCCGCGCATAATGATTAAACGAGAGTGATGGAAGACAAAGATGATAAGCAACAACACGTTCATTTCCCTCTCTTTAAACTTACAATTGTTGCAATGTTGCAATGCTCCATACTTATCGCAGGCTCGACCACTGGACCCGGATCGCGCAGCATGCGCGTGGAGGTAAATGACTGTGGGAGTCCGGGACAATGAAATCCGGCCGCGAGACGGATCAGCCTAAGCTCTTTTTGTCGCGGCCACATCGGGGTTGTTTGAATTTCGCTTAGGGACTATAGTGATCACGTTCTCATAGTGCAAGAGCAGCTGCCGTGGGATCGGCAGGAACGAGGATCGCGGTCCCGTGACTTCGAACGTGCGCAAATAAAGCGTGGACTGGTTGAATCGTGAGCGCGGACATTTCTATCTTGGTGAGCGTTGAAGAAATGCAGAAATAACACTTACTAGGCTTTACTAAAACCCGAGAGGAAGTGGGCGGTCACGCGTTGAGACGCGTCGGCACGCGTGGTCACGCGTGGACCCACACTTCCACGCCGCACGCGTTTTCACTGCGCTTTCCACGCGTGCTCGACGCATCGAAAAAAAATTGGATAAGTACCCTAGTCCTGAGGTATTTGTATACCAGGCTTTACTGGACAAAACCCCAGGGGAAGTGGGTGGTCACGAGTTGAGACATGTTGGCACGCGTGGAGTCACACTTCCACGCATTTTCACTGCCCTTTCCACTCGTGTCTGACGCATCGAAAAAATTGGGCAAGTAGAGCACCATAATCCTGAGATATTTACATGCACTGGCCACTCGCTGGGACAAGTTCTTCGCGAGTGGGACTGCGTGGAGGTCGTACTAGTTTCCGCTCGTGCCCAAATCGTCCGCGACCAAGGCTGATTATAATTTCATTCAGATTTCCCCTGAAACAGCAGTATTGCCGATACTCCCTCCTATCTGGCATATGAGGAAGATCTGATGAAGCTTGAGGCTGTGGTGTGAATCCCGGTCCAATTTCTGCATCTAATATCCAATGGTCTTCTTTTTCAGGTTCATGCTTATTACATTGCCCCTCCCCCGGGTATTGCACATGCTGCACCGGTTCAGAACAGTGAGCAATGAGCATCTATGATTTGAAGTTCTTGATCTTATGTCGTTCATAGTCTCGACGGTGCCTGTTCAATATGGGCATTCGTGGATGCGGACCAAGCTTCAAGCTCGAAAAGACAAAGATCTTACAGCGGTTGAACGAGCTCTATTTTTGCGTACCTGGTCATGCATTATCCCGAAATCTGGTGAAGAAAATGTTCATTCGTGTCCGAACCTATTCAGAACTCGAACCGAACCTTTGTGGACTGGACCGATGTCCTGTCTGGGGTTCGAAAAATCTGGAGGTCAGGTTCAGGGTTCGAATTTCGGACATTATAAACTGTATAATTATACAGAGAGATGAACCTTAATTTATGCGAGATTCCTCTTGGCTGAATTGGGTCTAGGCTCGAATCCAGCCTGTCTACCGAAAGTAAACTGTCGTGTCTATCGACACTTTCATAGACAGACGGTCACCGGTCTAAATTGGGTCAATATCAAAGTAAGAACCCACATCCGTTGGACACTGATGGACCACGCGTGGGTATGTAATCCAAGATATTTGCCAAGATGGATGAAGCATAACAGTACTCGCACAACCACGCAAGCCCACGCGGTGTGCCATCCTTCCCCACGTAGGTCTACTCGTGGGAAGCGGGCGAAAACACGCCCCACGCGTGAAAGTGCATGGCCACCCACTCCAACAGGGGTTTTGCCCGATAATGCCCGTGATGTCCCTAGCCCTGAGGTATTTACACATAGAGGTTGTCCGTTGATGCCCATGCCTTACGTTGTATCCACAAGCTC